TGTGTTATATAATATTATTTTTTCACTCAGTTCCCACTGAACCAACTCACTGAAAAAATGCATGATGAAAAATAAGTTATCACTGAAATAATGGGAAGCTTTTTAAATTTTCTATATAATTCTTTTCACACCGATTCAATCCAAATACATGTGCGAATAGAAACATAGCGTTCTTCGGTGAGAGATTAATTGGAAAAATAGTGATTTTTAGTAATATCTTAATCCATTGGTAACAGAGCCATCGAGGGAATCAAGGGAATGACTATAACGATTATTTTAGAAGTTGCGCTTCACTGGCATAACCTTTTATACATTTAATATAGTTTAATATACAACAATAGTCTATTTATATTTCTTAATCAATTATAAATTCTATTAATTAGTTCTCTAATCACGTGTATCTAATTGTTTTTCATAGTTGCATATTATTGACCAAAAGGGGTCAATTTCCTTGTTTCCCAAGGGAAAGACCAAATTATTCCAACAATATTTTTTTTCAATATTAAATATATGTAATTAATATGCAGATCTATTTTAGCCTCTTTTATATTTTTTTGGTCCAATTATTTAGTAGTCTCTTTATTTTTTTGGTCCAAATATTTAGTAGCCTCTCTTTTTTTGGGTCCAATTATTTAGTAGCCCTTTTTCATATTTTCCGCATTTAGCTTTAGAGAGTTAAATTATATAAAATTTAAATGATATTTTTAAAAAACATATTTTTATCATGTTGATATAAAAAAAATATTTACAATATTTTTTGTATAAGTTTTGAGTATTTAAGTTTTAATTTTAAAATACAAATTAATATAATTTACTTTAATTTTTAAAATTAGTCAAATTAACTATCGAAAAATGAAACAACAACAACAATAATAACGTATTCACTGTAATTTCGCAAAAATTCCTAATACGAAAGGGACCCCATTGACAGATGAAATGTACCCATGCTTTTAATTGGAGAAAAAAATGTCATTATAGTTGAGTCACCTTCGAGTGAACCCAAAGTATTTACAGTGAAATTAACCCATGAATTTAATTCTTTGGGGCCAAGAACTTATTTAGACTCATGTACGTGAGCAAATTCGTAAGCAATGATGTCTTCCATTTTTATTTTTTTTCTCACAAGCCGAAAAAAATACAAAGAAGCAAATTCAGAATTTGAACATTTTGGTTATAAATATATGTATGGAGTAATTTTTAATGTATATATAATTAGTGGCGGATTTTTATTAAAGAGTTTTAAAAAAAAAATGTAGTGTATAAAGTTTGAATTTAAAACCTTAAGATGAATTTCATTCCCTTAAATTAGTGAGTCAATCTTTAATCTTATATTAAAGAAATTCATATAATCTAAATATATGCGTAAAAGTAAAAAAATATTACCTTATATATACGGGAAATAATTGCCAGATAAATATCATGACAACCTCCTAGATCCTCCCCTCTATATGAGGTCTGAAATTGTTTTTTATTAAGTTTATATGAATCCATGGTACATGCTGCCAGCAAAAACAAATCAAGTCAAATCAAATAAATAAATAAATAAAAAGTGGAAGGTATTATTTTATTTTTCTTGGATTTTTTAACTTTATTAGGTAAAGATCATGTATTTTGTGCATGAAGTTCCTGGCTAGTGCCTAGAAGTCAAGAGGTTAATAATTAAAGGAAAAAAGACACTTTTCGATATGTTTAGAAGAATAAGGAAATTGTGAAGTGATTCTTGTGGGCTTAAATTATTCTTGAATAGTCAATTTTCTCTTATTAGTCAGAGAAATTTTTGTCTTCATTCTCTGTCAAAAAATAATGTATGGTTTATATGATAAAATATTAGTAGTTCATATTCGTATTTGAATTTGTGCTATGCAGAACTCCATTTGGAGGGAAAGCGCTTTGTATCAATGATTTTTTCATATGTAGGATTCGAACTTAAAACCTTTGATTAAAGAAGGAGCAGTCATTAAAGAGAAGCATTTCTTTACACGTATATAGATGTAAATGTTCAGCCATGAATGTATATTCGACTTGATATACTTAAATTTGGTTTGATTGAAAATTAGAGATAGATCTAGGATTTGAAATTTATAAATTTAAATTTATAATTTTACTACAAATGTCTATGTCAATAATTACGACATGATTAAAATATCGAAGTCATCATAGAGAAGAGTGTCATCAAATTTTCTAATAAAAGACTTGTGGCAATTTAAAAATCAAATTCAAGCATACTTGGAAAGCACTTGCATCGAGGATGTAGCAACAATAAGTATAGACCATAAACATGTATTATTGAGCAAAGTGTACAAATATTTGATTTTGACGTCATTATTTAATTTGTGATTATTTTTTATAAAAGAAAAACTACGCATATATGACTATCTTCAAATATACGGTGTTCAAAGTTAGTCTTAACAAAATCTAATTCAATTTTTGAATTTGAAGTTTCATATAAATTAAGTTTAGGTACATATGATTGAAGTTCAGTCAATTTTGCTTGAATTTCAACTAGGTTAAAATTTGATCCTTTTTTCCTTATTCCACTTTTACTTTAACTTAGAGTCGTATATGGCTAAAGTTCACTGACTAAACTTCGTCATATATACGACTGAAGTTAATCCATTTTTGCAAACAAGATTGAACATCAGTCATATATAACTTGAGATACCACACATATACGACTGAAGTTAATCCATTTTTTCAAACAAGATTGAACATCAGTCATATATAACTTGAGATACCGCATATATGAGGTGATATACGTGCAAAAAAGTTTAAAAGACGAATACATATTAAATGCCGGTATCAAAATAGACTGCCTCGTGAAACTTTGACTGTATTGTTGATGAACTCTGGGTCCAGTACAGACATTACTCAATCGGCCCAATCCTTTTTGAGTTACAATTGGGCTATTCAACTAATAATGAAATATGTATAAATTATAGGAACCACATATTATAAGTACTAAATAACATCATATCCCTTCTAGTTTTCTATTTACCAAAAATCCCTTAAAAATGATGTTTGCGGGATATATAGCGTTGTGCACGGGATACATTAGGTTTGATACATTCCACATAGCGGGATACATAGCGTTGTGCACGGGATATATGTGGGATACAAGCGTTGTGCACGGGATACATAGCATTGTGCACGGGATACATGCGGGATACATAGGTAAATAAGAGATTTTTGAAATTTTTGAAATAAGTAGGGATAAATGGATATTAAGGTAAGTAAATGAGTGTAGTTTAGTAATTTGTCCATGAAATATTTAAAAAATAGCCAATTTGAAACACTGGCTCATATTTCCATACGTAGCTACGTGTTCCATGAAATATTTGACAAATAGCCACTTGAAAATTTGGAACTCTATTATGTTGTATTGAGATTTCATATGCTTCATTAGCCATGTTTATCTTGCTATTGTGTTGTCGTTATTCTCAATTCATTTCTATCGAAAATAACCTAATTCTCTGTGCGCTATATAGGTAAAAGTTAAGTTTACGCACATAGATCCTACCTTTTTTAGACCCCTCTTATTGAATTACATCGAATATATAGATATCACCTCATTTGCAAAAATCGTTTACAACTAATACCACTTAAAAGCAAGAGCAGAGCCACCTTAGTTGAAGGGTGATCCGGTGCATACAAATTATGTGTGTACATGAGTTAGATATTAGTATTACTTATTATACTTATATATTTTATTTTGCATATTCTTATTATAATTGAGAAAAAAAAGTTACACACCTCTTGTTAAATTCCTGACTAGAAACACTTTCAATAATGTAAAAGATGGCATCTTGATCTTTTGGTTCCTTAATAAGTGGGAAGATGGAAGACAGAAAAACAATTCTCACATACATGCATGCATTATGGTTGTAGCATTAAAATATTCTTATTCTGTGGAATTTTTGCTATTTTTCCAAGGAAGGAATCATCATGTTTTCTACTCTCAGAGATCTCAGATTCGAATTTTAAGTATGCCATTTTTGAGCATTTTTCTTTGAGTGGAACCCACGTGATGTAAATTCAAAATAGTCGAACTCTGTCAGACACCACATGAGAAATTAAAAAGAAAATATTTTCTATAACTTGGTTCAACCTTCTTTGTTTGAATAAAATGGTTTCAGAATTTAAATTTAAATTTATGAATTTTTACACTAATTCAATCCAAAATTTTTAAAAATCTTATTTTAGAGATTATGCTGAATTCGTCATTATTATTATTATTCGATTTCTAACAACTTTTATTTATAAGGAAACAAACAACCAAGCAAAACGAGTACTCTTTTTTTTTCTTCATAATTTACTAAAGTTAATAGAAATGTACGACTTTTGAGATTCATAATTATTTTTTATATTTATTTTTGAAAATGCCAGTCCATTAAAAAACACCAATTTGCATTAATTTATTTGCTAACAAACAAAACTACAAAAACCTTTAAATATACTTAGTTGGTAATTATCGGCGCTTCATGTGCAAAGTTTGCTGACAAAATTGACTTTAACGTTCCAAAGTCTACGATTTGCTCTAATTACCTTTCAAATAAAAAAGATTTACACACTTAATTACTCAAATATGAAACTTACAAAATTGAGATATTTAAGATGTACTTCTGACCACAACTCATTATTAAATCGCATGTAAATATTAAGTTAAAAAGCAAATATAGCTTTTCTCGTTGCCGTTAAATTTACATAATTAAAATTATATTGACATTAAGCAAACATAACTTTTTCATAGACGTTCAATTTACATGTGTTAAGTACATAATCTCGTTGGTTAATGCTTCTAAGTTAATTGCAATTCTCCCCTAAGATCTAAGTTTAATCCAACCAATATAATTAACGCAATTTTATAAGTTGAGTCTAAGAAGTACATACATAAGTGAAGTCTGAATAAAATAAAATAAAATATATACGAATCTTATCTTATCAAAAGTATATATTTATATATAATTAGAAATGCAAAAATATTTAGTGATTGAAAATACTCATAACAAAAAGAATAAAAACTCAAATTTATTTCACTTGAAATGTACATAGGGATGATGAATGATTCACTCTAAAATGAAAAATATAATTAACAAAAAAAAAAAAAACCCACAATGTACCAAACAAATAAATCACAAAAGTAATTAAAAAGATAAGTATTACAAAACAGATCTCGTCCGTCCATCAAAAGAACAAAACACGTGTTAGTACACGTGTCGCCTCTACAGCAAAGCAGCAGCGATGATCACGCCAGCGAATGCAGCACCGCCAATGACGGCTCTGTTACCGGCGTTAGGCGACGACGGCGTGTTGTCGGCTGAAGGCTGATCCGCCGGTGCACCACCTGTAGGAGTAGGTGCCGATGGTGAAACAGCGCCGGCGCCAGACGGAGATGGAGATGGAGAAGTTGCGGAAGCTGCCGGAGATGGAGTCGGTGAAGTAGTGGGAGCGGTAGACGGTGCCGGGGTTGGAGTCGCAGTTGGAGTTGGAGATGGAGTTGGAGTTGCGGTCGGCGGAGCTAATACCGGTGCCGGCGCCGGAGTTGGAGTTGCTGCCGGAGAAATTTTTGGGGCCGGAGCTGGAGATTGAGCTATGGAAGAAGCAGCAAAAAAGGCTAAGAAAAGAAAAACTCTGAAATAAGAAGCCATTTTTTTGCTCTGTTTCTCTCTCTTTTGGCTGAAAAGTGAATAGAAAAGAGACTGCGAAGAGGAAATATATATAAGGAGGAGAAAGAGAAAAAAGGAAGGTTCCTTAGACAGAAATATTTGTATTGAGATCGATTAAATTTGAAATCACGAATTTATAGAGTTTGCGACTGTGTTTCTAATGTAGCGAAAGTTTAGTAGTTTATATCTAGTGTTTGATATTTATATCTGAATCTGATTAAATTTAAATTCATACATTACAAGATTCATTTTTTAGGATCACATTTTCCAATAGTTAAGATCCGATAAAATTCGAAAACTCTAATAAAGAATAAGTCATTATAATTACCCCAAGAAAAATCATGTTGGTCTTGAAGGAAAATATTTGTATAATATAATTATTTTTATAATCAATTGTTTAGTTTAAAATACAGATATAATATAGGTGTATGTCTGTTGGTAATGGTATAGTATAATGCATTAGTGTGCATGGACAGCTAAAAATGACTCATAATTCAACACCTAAATTTGTGGTGGATGTTATTTGTTTGTTCTCGATCAGAAGTCTCGATTTTAAATTCTCAATACAAAATATTAAATATTTAAAAGAAAAAAAGGATTCATAATCACAAGTTGATTGTGTGGTTAATGTTAGAATTTAAAATTTATATTACATTTAAGTTAATATAATTAAGTCAATTTTACTTTAAAATATAAATACAATATTTTTGAGAACAAAACAAAACTTTACAACTATGCAACACCTAACCTTTTTTAATTTCATTTTTCAAAGCTCTTTCTCAGAAACTTGTTGGAACAAACTTTTAAACCCCAAAAAGTTTTTAGCATATTTATGGCAAATATAATTGTCAGAGGAATATGGTTCTTCTCATATATCTTATCAATGAAATAATTAGATGAGAATAATAATTTTGAGCTAAATTATTTTTAAAAATATTTACTTGAAAAGTGGTTATTTTTCAAATTTGAAAAATTTAAATCAAATTGTTCGAAAAAATTGACTATAATATATTATTGAACTAAAATAGTATGAAGATATTCTTATCATATTAAAACCTCACATTTTCAAGAATATTCAACGCTTTGTTAGCTTTTTTTTTTCTTTCTATTTTTCATGTGTGACTGACTTAATTATATATCATCTATTTCAACAATATTTCTGATTATCAAAGCTTAATTGTTTATCTTAAATAAAATATATGTATGTGTTTTCAAAACTTCGATAAAAATAGCAAACTAATTTATAAATGGATAAAGGTGTAATTAAGTCAGGTTTAATATCGTTACTTGCCATCTCCATAATTATTTTATTGAACCATTCACTGTAAAGTTAGTTGTTAGACTGAAACAATATAAAAATATTCTAACATGATATGCTATTATTTATTTTAACTCAAGTTGATGCGTTTTTTATTTCGAAACATCTCACACACAACATATATAACCAAATATTTTTTTTGAAAAACATGGCTTGGGACCATTTTCTTTTTCTTTCGTGAAAATGCACCAAAAAGACACCAAAGAAAATGAAACAATTAGGTGGTCATTTTCCTCATGTTAAGTAAAATGTCATTATCTTCTTAGTTGTAATTTACTTGTATTTATATGTTTCTCAATCATTTGTCCAACTTATTTTCATATTTATCTATTCTTAACGTTAAACTTTCAAAATCATACTAATCCGTTCATTTCAATAACTAATTAATTTTAATTAACAAATAACAAATGACATATAGATATAATATGATGATAATGATCAATAGGTGATTATATGTGTTTTCCTCCTTTCACGCAATTTCTCATTCGACCAAGAGACATTTTTATAAGATAAGATAATAAAGACGAAAATAAATTTATTGTTAAGTTTAGCTAAATTGTCTTATAGATAATTGTTAGTCTTAGTCGGTTAGTCCCTCTTTTTTAGTTTCGTTTGTCACGCTAATAGCGATGTCGCACAACTAAGTTAGTACAAGTTCTTCAATACTCATTTTAGGACCTTTAATTAATTCAAAAAAATTATCAACGAGGAAAAATATTTTTTTCCATTCGCATGACTCGTACTAAAATCGCAACCGTCATAAATCTAATGAGTCAGACCAATAAATTTTAGATACCGAGCCACTTTTAATATTTTTTAGGTTGATATCAACACCAAGACCTAATTCCAACCAACATTAGCGTGGTCGGCAAATTTCTATTCTCAAAATCTAAGTTTCAACACTCATACTACTCTATTAATCTCAAATAATTTAATTTGATTCTAATTAATGCTAATTATATCCTCCAAATTAATGATTAATTAGTGTTACAATACGTGGTAAGTACTTATTTCATCATTTTCAATCAAAATTCTAATTTAGTTGTCACCATTTTAGATTTCATGTTTCTTAATAAATTAGGTAAGGTACCATTATACCCTTATTTAGTGTTCTTTTAAAGTCAATTTTTCAATCAATGAACATGTTAATTTATTTTAATTAATTAATTTGATCAATGATAATTAATTACTTATTTATGCTTTGGTTTTATAAAATAACAAATATTAAGGAACATCTACTTTTAGTAAGGACGACATATAAATAGGAACGGGAGAGTACTAAAGAGCATCTATTTTAATAAGAATAACAATGTAAGTAGGAACAATGGGAGTATAATCAAATTATTGTTTGCATTAATGGTTTACTATGACTTATTACTTCATCGGCTTTGTTTATCTTCATATCTTGCTGCTTTACTGTCATTATTTTGCGTTGTTTGTAATTCAATTAAGTCGAAGATCTATAAAAAATAATCTTCCTATCATCAAGATAGATAACGTTTATATATGTCCTATCCTTCCAGATCCCACTGTTGTATCTTAGTGTTGTGTGGATGAAATGCTTAATCTTTCTTTAGTGTTAGAATACGTGGCAAGTAATTATTTGATCAAATTTAAACCAAACTTTAATTAATATCTGCATTATTTTCTTAATGTGGGACCAAACGATGAGGGAGACATATTAACTTTGGCTTATAAAATTATTTTATATTATATCTTCCCTCAGTGTGGTTTGCTTAGCTGTATTATATAGCCGTTTAGCAGATAGGGAACATTAAACTAATTTAAAAAAAAATATATTTTTCTATTAAATTAAGCAAAATATTTTAATTTCATAATGTGTTGCTGTCGGTGCTCTGAACATTAAAATTTTAATTAATTAAAATATGCATTTTTTAATTTTATATCCGTTTGATTGTTAATATTCTTAAATTTAATTATACTTATTAATTGTTCAACCATTAATTATTAAAAATTTAGATTATTATTTTATATTTGAGATTAATATATTTCTATATTCAAATAATAACGTATTATCTACACAAAAAATGTCAAAAAACACTTATTTTAATTAATTAAAAGTTAAATATGATAAATCATATATCAAGAAAAGAATATTTAACAATAACTCAAGAACTAAAATACTAGTCAAGCTTCATGCGACGAATTTGACTAAAAAACTGTGTTGGGTTCAACTGCCCAACCAATTACGTCAATCACCCTCACAAAAGGTTTTCTTTTATAAAATTATTATATAAAATCAAAGTTTGAGGAATTTATTTCAATTATTATTGGCCAATCATATGACTTTATAAGTGTTTAATCAATTTACATATGTGACTCTTACTGAAATTATGAAAAACAAGTATGTGCTGTGGAAAAGGACATTGAAGTAACTGGCAAATAGTTGTCAGGCACCACCTTGGAATTTTATATATATTATATCATCAAATTTTTAATGTCGAGAATCTTATAAGTTGAGCTCGTTAAATTTTTATATTAAATTTGTTTTTGATATATATCAAAACGTTAATAAGAATTGAATTCATCTTTGATATCAAAACGTTATTAAGAACTAAAGAAACAAACTCTCTAAATTAAACTATCCCATTTTAGCAAGTTTTACACTTTAATTATTAGATGTTCATGTTATCTCTTGAATTGTAGCTCCTTTTATATTAAGAAAAAGAACTTATTATATATGGCAAATTGTTTAATGTATAACTATTGTGCTAATAAAATTTCACTATAATAAATATAATTATTTAATGTATTATAATCGTTTCACAGATAAATTTATTTTTATTTATGTAAATTTTGAAATTTTAACATGATAGACATATTTAAATTTTAATCTATGTTTGAACTTCAGATATACGAGACTGAAGTTAAAGTTGAAGGAGGAAGATCATCAACCTTTTGTCTAAAGTTTTTTAATACCGTCTACAACTTAAATAATAAATACTATGGAAAACGAGAAATAGCTTTATTATATAAATAAATAACAAGTTGTAAACTTACTATCAATTTAAAATTTTCAATTAGCTTTTTGCCAATAGTTTTTCAATACCAGCTTCTAGGTTCTCGAAGAAAGCTTAACTAGCGTGTATTAAATATGTTATATTATGTGTCAACTAGAGCTAATAATTTATATTTTTATTATAAACATATTTATATTACAATAAATGTTTATTACGTGAAAATTTTCCTTCGTTGCAATTCATATATGAATATCATCTCAATCCCTAAATATCATTCAAGAGTAATAAGGTTTTTTCTCTTCTTCCTATTATTTTATTCTTCTTATTATTTTATATAATTTCATAACACGTTATCAACACGAGACTTTATGGTCTCAAAGGTGAAATTAAGTTTGAAGGCTAATGTATTATTTATTTTCCTTCTTTTTAATATGACTAATCTTAAGAAGCTTAAGATTGTTGCCCTTAATAGTTTGGGCAAGAACTACGTGTTGGATGTTGAAATCTATTTGGATGCTGTGAGTCTAAGAGACACTGTTAAGGATGAAAATAAAGTATCAAAACAAAATTGTGCTAGAGCTTTGATATTCTCGCGTCATCATCTTAATGAAATTCTGATAATTGAATAACTCACACTTTGATATATTCAATTTGACGCAAGAATATCATAGATTTAGCACAATTTTGTTTTGATGCTTTATTTTCA